ACTTCGTTGTTTTTTGTTTCCAAATGCGAGATACAGTTTTAATGTTTGAGGATTGTTTGAATTGTTGATTCATAATTGAACGTGTGATTTCGTGTTATTCAAATCTGAGTCCTAATCTCTTGTTTGGACAATATTTTCCTGTGATCATGTGTCTAAATTGTGAATCGATTATCATGATCATGTCCCGAGAGTAATCCCTCTCTTGTCTGGTGGAAATTTAGGATCAGTCTCAGGCATTTGTGATCATTGCATTGATTTGAGGTTTAGACAATTGTTGAAGGTTGCTTAATCCTGTTTTGTGCTCAGCTTCTCAAAACTGTTGACTGTAGATCTCATGCCTCAGTTATTCAGTATGACATTCTTATTTGGGGTCAAACAACTGGCATAAAGTGTAGTTGGCTGTCCTAGTACATTGAATGTTCAAAAGGTTGTTATAATTGAATTTGTGCTTATGTTAATTTGCATCAGGCTTATCCTGAGGTCATTAGTGTAGGTACAGGTCCTTAGGTAGTGCTCATCTCACTTAAGGACTGATTTTTGAGGTGGAGATTTAGCTCCTTGCTGAGAGAGCTAAATCTCACTTTTGTTCAACAACTTGTTTAACTGAGAATCTGATTTTTTTACTTTGATCTGAGTAACTGTTCCTAATTCCACCAGACAAGCTTGTTCACTCAATTTGATAACCACAAACCTTTACCTGAACCTCTCTCTCCTTCTTTGATCTGTTCTCATTGTCTCTGTTAAAATCTATTTTCATTACGTAGCATTAACATCTTATGAACAACCCCCCCTCCTTGCGTGTGTGTGTGTTGTGGAAACTGAGCAATAAATCAAGAGAAGAAATAATAGAAGACAAATCTCCCTGTGGAAGAATGACCCTACTTACCACTTTGCTACCATTTTTATAAGTGTGTAGTAATTGGGGAATAGGTTAATTTGTTGTCACCTGACAAGTGGCTAACAAATTTTGGCGCCGTTTCCGGGGAGATTTGATCTCTTCTATCTTTTCTAACTGTCATACTAGGTCTTTATAAGTTGTTTTTGTGAACATCTGTGTCTTTTATACACTGATAAAAATTCACCAAAGTGCAAACTCTTCTTTTCTGCCGTGACTCACTGTTGAGTTGGCACTAACCCTTGTTTTAAGTGTTGTGTCAGTATCTGCCTTTTGATGCAGTTAAGAAGTGGTTTGGAGACCACAAGGGTAAGTGTTGATTTAAATTTGGAGAATCAGGTCAGTATTTCTGAGGTTGCTACTTCTTTTGATTCTGAATTAGAATCTGAAACTGAGGTAATTGTTTCTCCTGTCCAATCACATAATAACATGGCAACTTTAAGGGAGCTAGCTGCACCTGACCTTCAGACCCAGCCCATGTCCATTACTTATGCTGTTTTGGAAAAACCATTGAAATTAAACTCTGGATTTTTGAATATGCTTCCCAAGTTTCATGGCCTGCCTGGTGAAGACCCTTATAGACATGTTAATGAGTTCCTCATAACATGTGCAGCCATGAAACCTGAAGGAGTTCCTCAAGAACAAATCAGACTTAGGGCTTTTCCCTTTTCAGTGATGGACAGAGCAAAAGATTGGCTGTACTAATATGCCTCCTGGATCTTTTACAACCTGGCCATCACTGCATAGGGCATTCTTAGAGGAGTTCTTTCCTGCCTCTAGAATAGGATCTATTAGGAAGGACATCTGTGGGATAAAACAAATGGGGAATGAATCATTTTCTGAATATTGGAAGAGATTCAATAAACTCTAGGCTAGTTGTCCTCAGCATCAAATCTCTGAACAGCTGCTCATCCAGTACTTCTATGAAGGGTTATCCCTAATGGATAGAAGTATGGTAGATGCTGCTAGTGGTGGTGCTCTAGTTACTAAGACCCTAGAGGAAGCTAGGAATTTGTTCAATCTTATATCTTAGAACACACAGCAATTTGGACTAAGGATGAATGAACCAAAAAAGGAAACTGAATCTCTTGCAGCCCTCACTGATCAGATTGCAAATCTTAGCAAAATTATGGGTCAAATGGTTAGTGTGGGGGGAATCAAGAAGTCAGTTTGCTCTGTGTAGTCTAGAAGGGCATACTTCAGAAGTGTGTCCCAGTTTTCAAAATCAAATGTTTTCAGCTCCTGGTTTTCACTCTGAAAATTTTCAAAATTGTGAGGTCAAAGCTGCTTTTAACAATCAAGGACAGAGAAGGTATGATCCCTACTCCAATTCCTACAATGAAGGGTGGAGGGATCATCCAAATCTGAGATATGGTCCCAGACCAAGTCCCCCAGGTTTTCAAAATACAAACAACAACAATTTTTCTGCAAATCTAAACAACCCTCCTGGTCCTGTTGATAAAACACATCAAATGCTGGAAGTAATTTTGAAAAAAATGGAGGACAAGTTCTCCCTAGTTGATCAGAATATGAAGTTAATGCAAGAAAGGCAAACAGCCCAGGATACCTTGTTGAGTAATTTGCAGGCCCAAATTAACAACAGGTTACCTGCTCAACCATTTCCTGCTCCTAAAGAGAATGTGAGTGCTGTTGTCCTTAGGAATAAAAAAGTTCTTCCTGAACCTTACTTAGGGAATGTTAGAAGGGATCAGGAAATTATGGAAAAGGAACTTGACTCATAGAAAATCCAAGACCCTGAATTGGTCAACAATAAATCTGTTGTGACTCCTGACACTCCTAGGGCAGATTACAAACCTCAGCCACCCTTCCCCAGTAAATATCAGAATCAAAGGAAGAATAGTAAAGAACCAGATGATGAAATATTTGAAATGTTTAAAAAGGTTCAAGTGAACATTCCTCTTTTAAATGCAATAAAAAATGTTCCAAAATATGCAAAATTTTTGAAAGAGATGTGCACTAATAAAAGAAGGCTGAAAGGGGATGAGAGGGTAAACATTAGTGAAAATGTTTCTGCAATCTTTCAAAAGAAACTTCCACAGAAATGTCAAGATCCTGGTGTGTTTTCTGTGCCTTGTAAGATTGGAAATTTGGAGAATACCAAGGCTTTACTTGATTTAGGAGCATCCATCAATGTAATGCCTAGGGAATTATTTGACCAGTTGGGGTAGGAGAACTAAAAGAGACTGGGGTAGTTATTCAACTTGCTGACAGGAGTTTGACTTACCCTGAAGGGGTGGTTGAGGATGTTTTAGTCCTGCAGACTTTTATGTCCTTAACATGGGAAAGGATTATTCAGGCATCCCTCTCCTTCTGGGCAGACCATTTTTAAAAACTGCTAAGGCCAAAATTGATGTTGATGCAGGAACTTTGTCCTTAGAATTTGAAAATGAAGTTATTAAGTTTAACATTTTTGATGCAATGAAGTTTCCTGATCAACTCAATCAAGTTTTTACATTAGACATCATTGATGAAATGGCACAAGATGTTTTTCAATTATCAAATCAGGATGAGCTTTTGAGTGTGGTGTCCAATAGTCTGGATCCTGAATCCTTGAAACTCTCTCCATACACTGTAAATTCAGAGATTCATAAATATGTTAAAATGATATCTGAGGTTAAAACTGTTTCTTTAACTCATACTCTGGAGCTTCCTAAAAATGTACCCAGACAGTTGCCCTCCCTTGTCCAACCACCTGAGTTGGATTTGAAACCTCTACCCTTAGATCTTAAATATGCTTATTTAGGCTTGAACAAGACCTTACCAGTGATCATCTCCAGTAAACTGACTGAGGAACAAGAAGATAGACTGTTAGGGGTGTTAAAACAATTCAGTGGAGCCATAGGGTGGACCTTAGCTGACTTGAAGGGCATCAGTCCAGCCTTCTGTAGTCACAGGATTCTTTTAGAACCTGGTTCTGAGCCTAAGGTTGACCCTTTAAGAAGAATCAACCCCCCAATGTTAGAGGTTGTTCAAAAAGAACTCTTAAAATGGATTCAGGCTGATGTAATTTACCCCATTTCAAACTCTGAATGGGTGAGTCCTATTCATGTGGTTCCTAAGAAAGGAGGAGCCACAGTGGTTACCAATGAGAAAGGGGAACATATTACTAAAAGGGTTCAATCAGGATGGAGGGTATGCATAGATTATAGGAAATTAAATAAGGCCACCAAGAAAGACCATTTCCCTTTACCCTTTATGGACCAAATGTTAGAGAGATTGTCTGGAAGATCCCATTATAGTTTCCTGGATGGGTATTCAGGATACATTCAGGTCCCTATTTCTCCTGAAGACCAGGAAAAGACCACTTTTGTTTGTCATTATGGGACCTTTGCTTTTAAAAGAATGCCTTTTGGTCTGTGCAATGCCCCTGCAACATTCCAAAGGTGCATGACCAGCATCTTTTCAGATTATTTGACAAAAATAATGGAGGTTTTCATGGATGATTTTACTGTGTATGGAGACAATTTTGATGAGGGTTTAGAACATTTAGCTATGGTTTTACAAAGATGTGCCTTTTCACTTTGATGGGAATTGTAAAAAAGCTTTTGATTTCTTTAAACTTAAGCTCACCACTGCCCCTATTGTCCAGAGCCCTGATTGGACCTTACCCTTTGAAATAATGTGTGATGCCAGTGATAGGGCCATAGGAGCTGTGTTAGGACAGAAAAAAGGGCAGGAATCCATTGTGATATCTTATGCTAGTAGCACCTTAGATTCTGCTCAGTGCAATTACACCACCACTGAAAAAGAGCTATATGCTGTGGTGTATGCACTTGAGAAGTTTAGGACTTATGTTTTAGGGGTCAAGGTCACTATTTTCATTGATCATTCTGCCATTAAATACTTGATGGCTAAGAGGGAATCTAAGCTTAGACTGATTAGGTGGATGCTTCTAATTCAAGAGTTCTTACTTGAGTTCAAAGATAGACCAGGCCTGCAGAATCAAGTAGCTGACCATCTTAGCAGAGTCTTATACTCTAACAACCAGACACCTTTCACTGGTTTATTCCCTGATGAGTCTCTATATGCAGTGAAAGTGTTGCCTTGGTATAGTGAGTTGGTTAACTATTTGGTTACTGGAGAATTTCCAGTAG